ACATTGATGACAAACACGTGGATGACTGTGATAGAAATGGGATAGGAAAGAGAGGAGGAGAGGAGAGGAGGGGAGGAGAGGAGGGGAGGGGAGAGAGGGGAAGGGAGGAGAGAAGAGAGCTGAGGGGAGGGGGGAGGGGAGGGGGAGGGGAGAAGAGGAGAGGACTGGAGAGGAGGGAAGAGAAAGGAGATTGGGGCTCTTGAAATTCTTGGTACTTATACAATAAAGGAAATGCAGTGGTAAGCTTGCTGAGACATAGCAGGGACCCTGAAGTGGCGGGGACTACAAGGGTCAGTGGACTCTATCGCTGTTCTTTTCTCTCTGCCACGTTCAGAAACAGTTATTGAGCCAAAAGCGCTTAAAACCCAATCAGCACTTTTAAGTAAGTTTCATTTGCCCTGATTTCTTGAAGAACCACCAAGAAAGGTAGGCTTTTAAGGAACTGAAGTGCTTCAGGGTGAACTGGGAACCCAAGAGCAGCAGGGTGGACACTAAAATAAGGAAAGTGCTTGTTCTCCTTAAGGGGAGTGGGGCTAAATGCAGACTCCAGCAGCCTCAGCCTCCTTTGTCGCTAGACAACTAGAGCTGGGTTCAGGTCACCCAAGCTTCTTCCATAGGGCACGGAGTGGGGCGATAGGTAGAGCACAACCCACCTCCATCCAGGCAGTCCTGGCCAGAGCCAGGTTAGAAGTCCCGCAGGCCCTCAGCTTTCTTCTCCAGCTCCTTCCCAGCCTCCTGGCCACCTCAAATGAATCGCACTTGTGCAGGACTCTTCCAGGAAAGCCAGACTCAAAGGGGAGTCCCCGGTTGCACACCGGCCGCTAGAAGGCCGCTAGAACAGCTCTATCTTTCCAAACCTCTAGCCGCCAGCCTCTGGATGCCAGCGGGTGACCTCGAAGCCGCGAAGCCGCTGGCTAGTCGCTCTGCCCTTTCCCTGGGGCTTGGGCACCGCGGGTGGATGGAGCTTTTCAGTGATCGTGCGTGGGCCGACCCTGGTGGCAGTGACTACCCTGCTTTGAGACTCACGGATAGTGACCACGCCCGCGCGGAAGGTCTGGGGACGAAGAACCCCCAAGAGATACTGAGGCTAGAGGGTGACTTGCGGCAAGGCGCTGACCAGGATGAGTCGCGCCTAGCCTCCGCATCCCCGCTTCCCCCTTGAGGGATCCAACTAGCTTGTTGGTCGCGAAGCCACGGTATCCCCGAGTGTTCAGAACTTACCGAGAGAGCGCTCCCGCGCCGACTGGATCTTCCTCAGGAGGCGCCCGCAGCATCTGCAACTCGGAAAGGCTCAGGAGCCGACACAGCCTGGGTACCAGCGGGGCTCAGAGCAAAGGCACGGCTGGGAGCGCGGGCGGTGCCCCCAGGTCACGCAGATCCCTGCTAGAGCTGCTCGCCACCCGGCAGCGTTTCTGGCAGGAAGGAGGGAGGGAAAGAGGGAGGAGAAGGGAAGGAGGGAGGGAGGGATGACTACCCCTCTCAAGCACTTATCAATCACCCCGCAGATCAAATGTCCCCGCTGTGCACTCCGGAGGGGGATGTACCAGCCCACAAAGGAGCCGCTGCTCCAGTTTTCCAAGGAGCTCTGCAGTTCTGCTCATGCCTGTTGGCCCCTCTTTACTGGAACTCTCCCCAGCTATTGCAGCTTCTACCATGGGCTGCCCCTCAGAGTAGGTCAAGTAAAACAAGGATGGCACTTGCTTGGTACCATTTTAGAGGGGACACGAAGACCACTAGGTGGAAGTTATGGACAACTGAAAGAGCAGTCAGCAGTCCTAGTTGGCACCTTCCAGGACCACTTCTGCCTCCCCTAACTAGTGATTGCCCAATCACTGGAGTTCGCAGGCTGATATTTAAGGACCTCCTCCCAGGATGGTAAACAAGGTATTTCCATATTATTCGGAGCTCAGGAAGACTTGTGCAAATGTGTGAACAAAAGCAAGCCTTAACAGTATTGCAGCCCCCGCCTAAACACTGCTTATTTTTATTCTTCACGAGGCCGTCTGGATATACAAGAGCTCTCTTTCTTGCCTTTTCTCTCCCTTACGTTTCCCCGTCTATTTTTTTCTTCCTTTTCTTCCTAGTTCACACTGATTCTATTAAAGGAGGACCCTTGGTAAAAAGTCAGTGTAGTTCAAGGAGGTTAAGGGGATTTTGCAAAGAGCGTTGCTGCTCTCCTAAAGACCTCTTTTCCTCGGAGCCTCTCCTCCAGTGTCCCCGAGTATTCAGGATAAAGTTGCAATTTCTTCATTCATTCAGGCAAGAATAGGGTGTTCATTTCATGTGGCCAAGACAGCCCCTACCTCATACTGGAGGAGACTGGTCTTAATTGAAGTCCTCACGCCTCCCTGTCTTTTCCATACCCTCACTTGGAGTCTGTCAAATCCCCAAACCTTCAGAATATCCACGAGTTTGGTGGGGAAGAGCAGAAAAGGAAGTGAAATAAAGAAAAGAATGCCAGAGAGAAGTACAAAATGAAAGCAAAAATTAGCTCTCAAGCTAATAAATCTGCATTAAGATGTATCTGCTTTCAAGGTTATTTCCCATACATTTAAACCAGGGTCTCACAGCACTGACTCCCACTTCCTTTAGTGTTGAGGATTTTTTAAGCATTTTCCTCCCTTCTCTCTTTGACTTTCTTTTTACATAACGATTTTCTTTTTATAATGAGTGTGTTGGGGTTTCTATAAAATAATACTGATAATCTTATATTCTGAACCTGTGTTTACCCTAGTAACAGGCCAAAGAATTGTCTAAATTTATCCCTTGGTTCTAAAGATGATTAATGTTCCTCTTACTTCATTCTTAAGAAAGCATTTTTAAAAAAATTTCCTATCACTTAGATAGGTAATTTCAGAATAACATGGTTTTCTCATATGATCATGGATAGGCTACTTACAGCTACAAAATCAGAAACATTCTGCTTTAAAATAATGTGCTTGTCTGTGTAAAAGATCTGATTTGCTGTTTGCTACAGATTATAGTGGCAGTAGGTGTACATCTTTTTACTGAGGACAGTTGATACTGTTACTTCTGTCTTTGCCTCATTTCTGTGTCATCTTTGCTTGTAGTTATTTAATGGGTGCTGTAAACAGCTACAGAACAGAGAACTAACACCATTAAGACGTAGAAATAATGAGACAATCCATTGAGGAAAAAGCCCAAGAAGGGTGGTGTGTTTCTAGCAAAAGGGAATACACCCAGCGCGCGCGCGCGCACACACACACACACACACACACACACACACAGTGCTTAGTCTGAAAATTCAGTGAAGCACATAATATCAATGACTTGAAAACTGATATATTATTTGGATCTAGGAGAACTAGGTAATAGATGCCATGCATCAATTTTAATTAGCTTTGTAAGCAAGTTTCACATATTTATCAGTCTTCAGAACACATTTAGCAGCCTGACTTTCTACATGGGACCACAGAGATAGTAAGATAAAATGAAAAGGAACACACTTTTCTTTTTTTCAGCACAAAATTTTTAAGTAAGTAGTTAGCTTTTCTAAAGGTTGCTGTGAATATGCACACACACACACACACACACACACACACACACACACACACGTGATGAGCAATGCAATATTTCCTGTGAGGGCTGTAGTATAGATAATCATGGTAGAAGAGACCTTGAGGTATGTGAAAAATAATTAAATGTGCCAATTTATTTGAAAACTACTTTATACTGACTTTTCTAAAAGTTTCTGTTTCAGAGGAAAGTTTCCAAATATAGTGGACTACAAAATATGCATACATATTCATGTGCTTTTATTAATAAATATCACATTCTTACTAATTCTTTGGCATAGCAGCACTGTAAAGAGATCTCTGTGTGTTTATTTTCTATTATGTGATTTGTTTTACTAAAGAGTTAGAGATACTTGATTGCAGTTGTAGTGGAAAAATAGAAGAATAAAATAAAATTTCACCTGAATTTTTATTTTCTTAAGATTAGTAGAAAATCAAATATTTTATCTAAGATCAAAAAAAGTACATTTCTAAGTTAAGCAAATGCTATCCAGTTACTGTGTAGTACAAGTCTTATCTGAGAATGTTATTTCTCCAACTTTTCCACATATACCCAGAACCAGGAAGCTTCAAACAAATAAGTAAGCACATACACACACACACACATACACACACACACACACACACACACACACTCACACAAGCAAACAAACAAAGTGGAAGATGAGTCACTCAATTTTAAGACTTTGTGCTGCTTTTTCAAAGAAAACTGTCCCTTTGAAGCAAACATTTAAAAGAGCAGCTCTTAAGGACAAATTCCTAAATGAGGGAATGTAGCATAAAGAGAACATGTTCTTAATATCAGTAATTCCAGTTTAAAGGTTATTGTAGACTTTGGTTTCTGAGGCTATTGATAGTGCAGCTATTTTAAATTCTGTTCAATTATTGTGATTAGTTTGGCAGACAATTTAACTTCTTTTGAATCGTGTGCCAGGACCCAGAGCAGTTTGTTTTCTAATTAATCACATTTCCAAGAGCTTTTACTTCAAAATCTGGGTTCAAATCCCACAGCAATTACTTCTTCAATTGGATCCACAAGAATCTCTATACCTCTTTCAGTTTCCCATGTATAAAACTGGCTATTGCTACCTGTCTCATGGTGTCAGTAAGGACAGGATATATGCAAAACTCAATAAAACCCAGTGGTGTACAGTAAGTCCTAGGCAGGAAACCTTCAAATGAGGAACTTTAAATTCACTTGTAAAATATATATATTGCAATGATTTTAACAAGAAAGCAAAATTTTAATTTTGCTCAATAGGCTCAGAATTAGAAAAGCTATGATTCCAGTTTCTGTTATATAATGTCTACCATTCAAACATTCCATCCTATTTTCCAGTTTTTTTTCCAAATAACTGAATATGTGTGTGATGGTTAATATTGTCGACTTGACTAGATCTTGAATCCTTAGGAAACAAATCCTTGGGTACGTCTGTGAAGGAGTTTCTAGATTAGGTTATTAGAGGTAGGAAGACCCCGTGTAATTATGGGTGGCACCACCCATGGGCTGGGTTCCTAGAGTGAATAAAAAGGAGAAACAGGCTGAGTGTAGATGCACTCCTGCTCCTTCTGCCATGACATCCCTGCTTTGATGGAATGTATCCCCTGGAGCCATAAGGCAAAATAAACAGTTCTTCCCTTCAGTTGCTTCTCTTGGGTATTTTGTCTCTCTCTCTCTCTCTCTCTCTCACACACACACACACACACAGACACACACACAAATAAATGAAAATAAAATGGGCAGAATAAGTAACACACTATGTATATGCTGGAATTGCTCAATATCGTTGATTGGCATTTCAGTCCAGAAGACTCTGTTGAAAGATCTATCCTGTGTGATGCAGGAGTCTTAGCAGTATCCCTAACTCTCTCTCTCTATCTCTCTCTCTCTGTGTGTGTGTGTGTGTGTGTTGTATAAGTTTATATGTATAAATGCCTCTTTTCTATAACATTTGGAAGACTAGAAGGAACACAATGTACACTATGGCTTAGTGATAGAGCAAGGGTAAGACTCTAGAGTGCCTGATGAGGTGCTTTGTTATATACTACACCCCTCAGGCTGCCACCTCTTGAGCTCCTGGAACAATTAGTGGGGGCAGGCAACACAAACTGATGATGGTCCTCAAGAAGAAATGTATTTCACATCATGACCCTCAGCACTGTCACAGACTGAAACAAGAGTTTTTAGAAACAATATTATCCTCATCATAGTTTCATGCCCAGAAATAGTCTACTGTGGTTGGCTTATAAAAAATTGTAGCCTGTGGCCTACTGAATTGATTTCAGGGGTGACTAATAGATTCTAGCTCATAGTTTGTAAATACTAACCCACTTGATTGTGTAGAAAAGGAAGGAAAATGGAACAGGAAAGAGAAAAAATGGACAATGAGGACTGAACAGAAGATGAACAGAAGGGAAAAACATATACGTGCTACACAGTTATAGAAGAATTTATGGTGCTTTAGGAACTAGTTATAGCAAGTGCAATGGCTTCTGTTCCTCAAGGGTTCTAGATCTTCCCCTTTGTTGGCTGAGTCCAGTGATTAATCAGTAAGAACAGTGTTGAAGCTTGCTGAGCTTGGAAGTAAATATGTATGGTAAAAGACACAGATTGTACAGGTAAGGCTTAAGGTAGCATTAAGGAGGAATTTCATTTATCCTGACACATTCTAGCCTGTTAATCTCACTGAAACTGGAAGTTCTATTTTGGTCTGGAGTTACAATCTAATGTTCAGGAGGAAACAAAATTTATTGGGTTTGACATTGCACTTTATTGGAATGGAATAATTCTGTTGAGTCTCTGTAGTAAGTTTCCTTGATTTTATTTATGTATTTATATTTACCTAGTATAAATAT